CGGATTATGGGTACGACAGCCAGCGCGGCGCAGCAGGCAGTCTCGGCATCCCCCCCGGAGAGCGGGGCACCGGGCGACGGCAGCATGGAGGACCAGCGCTCCCTCAGCATCCACTCCTTCCAAACCCTGGGGCTCCACAACAGCAAGGCCAAGTCCATCATCACCAACAAAGTGGCGCCCGTGGTCATCACGTAAGTCCTCTTGCATCTCCAGACCTCTGGTTTTATGCACCCTCTTCCCAAAATACCGCCTTTTTTTTTTTCTTTTTTTTTTTTTCAATCTTTACTTATGTCGTTATTCTTTTTTTTGGCCCACCCGCACGTGGCTTTTGCAGGTACAACTGCAGGGAGGAGTTTCAGATCCACGATGACCTGCTGAAGGCCAACTACACGGTGGGACGCATTTCCGAGGCCACGTTGGAACACTACCTTGTGCAGGTGAGCGCCGCCACCACCACCCCACGCCAAACCCGTTTCAGCCTGGGTTCCTCTCGAGGTTCTTTTGGGGCTAATGTTGAAGATCACCAAGGAAAAGCCACTTTTCTTCCCAGTGGCGCTCAAGCCTCCTTGCTCAAATCCCCTCACTCCCCATCTTCTCTCTGCCCATCTTGTTTTGCAGGGGAAATATTTCATGGTCAGGGATGTATACGGCAAATTAGACGTCTTGAACACTACCGGCAGCTGTGGCGCTCCCAATTTCCGACAAGCTAAAGGAGGTTACGCCGTGTTCGGCATGGGGCAACCCAGCCTCAACGGCTTCAAGCTCGTGCTGCAGAAGCTGCAGAGAGAGGGCCACAAGGTTGGTGGGAAGGTGGAAATCGGGGTGGAAAAAGGCAGGAGAGCTTTTGGGCAGCATCTCCCCTCTCTTTGCAGGAGTGCGTCTTCTTCTGCATCCGCGAGGAGCCCGTGGTCTTCCTGCGGATGGAGGGGGACTTTGTGTCCTACACCCCACGGGGCAAGGAGAACCTTCATGAGAACCTCCAGTGCCTCCAGCGGGGGCTGCGGGCAGAGAGCCTGGAGCTGGCCATCCGCAAGGAGGTGAGGTGGGCTGGGAAGGGGGGATCGTCACCCCAGCGATAATGGGGTCCATGCATCCCCCCCAGCTCGAAGATGAGTGGAGGGATTGTTGGAGATGGTGGGTGCCCCGTGGGTTTTGATGGTGGTCTCCGTCTCCGCTAGATCCATGACTTCGCGCAGCTGAGTGAGAACGTCTACTATGTCTACAACGACATCGAGCGCTTGAGGGATGAGCCCCACACTGTGCGGGTGCAGTGTGAGGAGGACATCCAGGTGACAGAGGAGGTCTACCGCAGACCCGTCTTCCTCCTGCCCTCCTACAGGTGCTGCCTCTCCTCCTCCTCCTTACGTGTGGTCGGTGGCTTTGCTTTTGCAAGCTGGGCTCTTGATACCCTCTTCAGCCACCTGTCCTCCACCACGGTGGGGACGAAGCCCTCCCACAGCCCCCTCCTCCTAATGAGGACTGTCCCCATGCCCGGCAGGTACCACCGGCTGCCCCTGCCCGCCGAGGGAGCCCCTTTGGAGGAGCAGTTCGACGCTTTCATCCACTTCCTCAGGGTGAGCCGAGCAAAAGCGCCTGGTCCATGGGGCCACGTCGGGTTGGGATTTGCTCCTGCGCCTCAGCAAGGGTGCCATGTGGGGGACCATCACTCCCTGAAAGCATCTTCTCCTGCTTTTGGCTTGATGCTGCCCTTTAGAGGATGCCTGTGCCCACAGTTGCATCCCATTCCCATTGCTGTGGACCCTGCTGGAGAGGTCCATCTTGTCCAGCTGCTTGTCCCTACCCCTGGCTTTAGGTGATCATCCCTTGCCACCTCCCAGCATCCCTGTGCAGGTGGCTAAACGGGTTTGGGAGAAATGATCTGGATTTGGTGCAAAGGCATTGAATGGCAGGGCTTCTCTTTTTTTTTTTTTTTTAGCCTGGGACTTTGCATCTCAGTGGCTTGGGGACTGGCGGTGGGAACATCTCTGGTGGGGTGGACAGGCCAATGTCCACTGGTGGCTGGGGAGGGCGTGGGGACGCAGTGGATGGACCGCCTGTTGTGCTGTCCCGGTCCATCTGTGCCATCCCCTGAGCAAAGTGGTGATGCCACTCACCCCTCCGCGCCTGTGTAGTGCTGTCATCTCCACCCTGGCCATTGTGGTGGCAGACCCAGCTCTCCTGGATGCCCCTGTGGTCCCCATCCACCTTGTCCCTCCCTCCTAGGAGACCCCCAGCCTTCTGCTGCGGGACCCCGGCAGACCCCCACCGGCACTGCTCTTCGGCTGGCAGACCGGCGTGGGCAGGACCAACCTGGCCATGGCCATGGGCACACTCATCCTCCACCACCACCGAGGAGCCACCCAGAAGCCCGAGTAAGCGGGGGCAGCCCCAGGGACGGGGGGCAGGGGGATGCCCATGCCACCAGGGCAGGTTTGATCTCCTCCTTCTCCCACCTCAGCCTCCCCCACCCGCCTAAAACACCTCCCAGGGACAGGCTACGGGTCATCCAGACCTTCATCGAGATGGTTCCCAAAGGCCAGCAGATAGTCGAGGAGGTAAGAAGGTGCTGGAGAAACCACCCCTGGTGGGGTGGGTGGGAGGGAGGGGGCGAGGTTGGTCATCGTCCCCCATCGGGGTCTCGCTGAGCTGCTCTCCGCTTGTTCCTCGCAAGGTGGATGGTGCCATCGCCTCCTGCTCGGAGATGCACGACATGAAGGAAGCCATCTACGAGTACAAGAAGAAGCTGGAAGGCATCGGGGAGGACTATCAGATCCAGGTACGTTAATTAGAGAGGACCGCTGGTCTGCAAGCCGCCCGCTCTCCACGGGGTAATTTATCGAGCTGTTTTTGTGCGGGGATAAGAAGAATGTAAATTCTGGAAATCTGAAGCTTCCTGTGAGCTGAAAATTTCCCAGGGACATGAAACCTGGAAGGTTGTGGAGCTTCTCCTTTTTTTTTGCATTTTTTTTTTTTTTTAATCTTCTCCAATTGTTTTAAGAGCCGTAAAATGGAGCAGGCTGGGATGTTGAGGGAAAGCTGGCTGTTTTGGGCTTCGCCACTGCGTCTGGTAGATGACCTCGGGGGCAAATCCTATCCTGTGCCCTCGTTTCGTCAGCTCTAAAATTGGAAAATCGATTACCAGCCTGACTGGTAAAAGTCCTCGGGAGCTGGGAGGGATCATTGCTCGGAGGTTTTCCTGCAAAGATATTCACTCAAGGTCAAGCTTTCCTATCTGTAGATGTTGTTTTTTCTTTTCTTTTTTTCCCTTTGTTTTTGAAAAGCCATCAGGGTGGTTTTCCACGCTGGGAAGCTGTGATTTCTCCTGTCCGACTGGGGGTTGGTCCTCTCCAGGCGAGGGAGGGAGGGAGGGAGTGAGGTAGGATGCTGGGATGGAAGCGCTGCCCTGATCCCGGCTTCTTTGGGGATTAGTTTTCCCATTGAAAATGCTGAAGGCGGAGTGGAAGTGCCGAGGTCGGTCGTGAAGGGCTATCTAAAAATGCGCTGTGCGGCTAAAGCGGTCCGGAGCGGGAAAACGCCGTGAAAATAATTAAGTGGGGGCAAAAAAGCCTTTACCGGCACTTTATTTTTGGCATTTAGTGGCCAACCTCAAATCTTCCAAACGTAGGGTGGATTTGGGTACGTTTGGTGCTGCCGGCGTGATGGCAGATGTATAGCGGGATTTTCCCCGCTGCCTCAAAGCCTTTCCCGGACTCTTCCCTGCTTGGAGGGAGGCTGCTCTATGTCATCCTCGACGCCGGGGAAACAAACGGCCGGGGCGGACTGCCGTAAATTAGCGAGGAGGAGTGTTTATTTGAAGTCTGCGAGGAGCGAGAGCAGGTTTAAACAATGGCGAGGGGCCAGGAAAATGTGTTGGGGTGGGGGGAGGAGGATGAGGAAGGGAGAGGGGCTGATGCTTGGTGATTGAAAACCAGCCTGGGTTTGGGATTGGGGTGGGGGTGGGGGTTGCTGGGTGAGCTGGCCCCGCTTGCTTTTGGGGAGAGGAAGGGCTTTTTTGGGCACGGAGGGACGATCTTACACTGGCCCGTGGGTTTCTGCCCTGCGTTGGGGGTAAAAGTGGAGATTTAAGTCCTCAAGCGGTGGTGATGCAGGAATCGGTGCACCCCGGCGCAGGATTCTGAGGACCCCCGTGGCACCCAGCTCTCCACGGCTGAGATGCAAGCGGATCATCCCCCTTTTCATCAAAAAACCCTATTTATGGGGAAAATCAAGAGATTTCCCTCGGGTGAGAGCTCAGGGTTGGTTTTCACTGCGGGGACCCAAGTGCTAGGGGAGAAACGCCGCTCCGCCGGCGGCGCTGCCGGCGAACCCGGCACAGCTCCATCCTCACAGGCTTTGTTTTGAGTTTCCAGAGCAAAGCCCGTCTGCCCTGCCTCTTGATAAATGACAGCGGGCCGGATTTCTCTTGCGAAGAACAAATAAATATTCATGAGTCAGCCACGTAAGGTCAGAGATGTGCAAATCCCTGTGCGTAGGCAGCCCCCATCTTACAGGATTTTCCATCGTACCCTGGGCCAGGCGGTCCTGACGGGCTCTCCAGGGATGCTCGTGGATCCGGTGCTGGGTGCTGCTTCGCTGGTGCCGGCGTATCGGGTTGATTTTTGGCTGGGATGCTGGGGATGTATAAACCCCTGCCTGCAGGCAGCGTGGTGGTCCCCATGCTTGTTGTCCCCAGGAGGAGATAGCTGTGCCGCCACCTCAGCATTTTGGCTGGAAGGCCACGGAGGTGGCCGGGGTGGGGGCAGGACCTTGCGTTAAGCGACCCCCTCCCCTTGGGTTCAAGTCTCCCATTAGCATCCGGACAGTGTGCCCCCCACCCCGGGACAGCATCGCCCCCTCGGGTCCGGTTGGAACCGCTCCCGGTGTGTCCTTGGACTAAAGGGAAGGTTTTGTTTGAGCTGAGATGCAGATTTATGGCTTTAAGCATAGTTTAAGACGGAAAACTCGAAATGTTTCATTTAAAGAAAAAAAAAAAGTCATAAAAAACCTATTCCAGATTGGGTTTTGTCGTGTAACCCCCTTCTTATTTGAAAACATGAATACGCAAAAAACCTTCTGAGCGTCTTAAGTGGTATTTCTGTCCCTCTTCCCCCCAAAAAACTGCTGCGTAAAAAAAAATGATATAGATATGGCTCAAGCCTGCCTGTCTGCCTTCTAAGCCAGCCCCAAACAAGCGTGTTGGGGGGGCTTTTTCCTCAACCCCCGGGTCCGCTGCGGGGCTGCGAGGACCGGCCGGCGCTGGGCACGGCGAATCCCACCTGCCTTCGCTTTCAGGGCAGCAGCACCAAAGAGTATTTCCTGCAGAGGACTTTGCAGAGCCTCGAGCGCTACTTCTACTTGATTGCTTTCAACTACTACCTTCACGAGCAGGTAAAAAACCAAACCAACCAACCAACCTACCGACCCACCGATCCCCCAAAAAATCTCCTTTGCTCTATTTTTGTTCTTTCCCTGTGTAGTGGGAGGGAAGGGGTCTCCCCACGTCTTGAGTTTCCCAAGAAAAATGCAGGTTTCTTTGGTGGGGTTGTGGGTTGTTGTCCGGGGTAGGGGG